TGCCTGCCTCAGCCTCCCAAAGTGCTGGGATTACAGGTGTGAGCCACCCGCCCGGCCGATGTAAAGTTTTAAACTAAGACTTGAATTATAAAATATCCTAAGTATTCAATACCAGATTGTTTAAAAAAATTAAAGAGTCATAACTGTCAACAAAAAATAGAGAGAGCATTTGGGCTTTGGACTAGACAAAGCAGATTTCAAATTCTGGCCCCCTTCCACACTCTGAAAGAATGTGGAGGTTGCATAAGTCCTGTCTGAACATCAGTTTCCTCTTATATGCACATTGAATAATATTGACTTCATGAGTACTGTGAGGATAAACTATATTCATTCAACCCCTAATGAGTATCAATATTTACACTATTTAACAACTAATAAGATATGGGTATTGCCCAATCATAATAGATGCTGCCCACTGGAAAACAAAAACAAAAATAAAAAACAATAAACAAACAAAAACTATAGGTAAATTTCAGCTGAATGCTGAATTTTTGTTCAATCATTGGCCTGAATACATGTAGGTATCGGTGCAGGAAATGCAGAAAGTAATGGAAAAAGATCCATATCTTGAGAGATTCAAAGTACACTGAGGGAACATCAGACATGTAACAGAACAAATGTAATATAGTGTTATAGATAATATGATAATGCTGTGGTCTAGATATTTGTCTCCCATGACACCAAATACAGAAGTGGAATCCTAATCCTCAAGGTGAAGGAGATGAGGACTTTGGAAGGTGACTAGGTCATGACGGTGGAGCCCTCACTAATGGAGTTAGTGGCCTTATAAATGAAGCCCCAGAAAGCTGTCTTGCTCCTTCCACCATGTGAGGACACTGTGAAAAGGTGCCATCTATGAACTAGGAAGCAGCCCTCACCAGACACCACATCTGCTAGCACCTTGATCTTGGACTTCCAGCCTCCAGAACTATAAGAAAGAAATTTCTGTTGTTTATAAGCCACTCAACTGTTTTATTGCAGCAGCCTGAATGGACTAAGATAGATGGAAAGTGTGTGATGACTAAAAGTGACTAGTATGAGCCTGGCATATAATAGGCTGTCTTCTCTTCATGTTAGCCTGGATAGGGAAACCTATCTTTTGCATCATCATGAGATTAAGCATCATTTTATCTAACATAAGTGGGAGAGAGAAGAATCAGGAGATAGAAACTACTCATATTATGAATAAAAGGAAACCAATTTTAAAAATCCAGCTGATTCTAGTCTTTATCTTGTACTGTAGTGCATTGGTTTAGCATGCTACCCTCCAGGCACATATAGTTTGTCACTGTTGCCCAAACACATAAGTAATCTCAATAATCTAAAAATAATAATTACCTTTTATATCCAGCGAACCAAGCGTTGCACTACTCATTTTATAAATATCATCTCATTTAATCCTCTTTGAACCTGCTAAGAAGACAATATTATCTCTGCTTGTTCAGTGTGAAAACTGAAGGTCATAGAAGTGGAGCCAACGGTCAAGGTCACCTGACATAAGTTCATTCAATGCTTGGATTTGGTTCCAAGTTTCCATCGTGGATGGACCCAATGACTTCCTAGAGGCTGCAGGGCAGCCTAATCCCTTGCTTGTTTCTCATCTCATGTAGACTCATTGAAACAAAAGACAACTCTTACCTAAAATGGTGCAGTATCATAAGACAGTGGAATTCCCACCTTAAAGAGAAACAATGTCATATTATGACAATATTTAACGAAACAAAAATTAAATATTTCACAGTATTAGAAATATGATTACTGAACAAGTCCTTTCATTACATTGATATGTAAGGGCACAGAGAGAGGAGAGAGGGAGAGAAAGAGAGCAGATACCTGTTGAACAAAGGGAGATTTTGGTGTTATCCTCGTCTAACACCTGTATAGTGATGTGTAGTCTGCACTAGTCAAAAAAAAAAAAAAAAAGTAATGTGAAATGCTACCAACTTGGATTCCTTGCAAACAAATATATGTTTTTAAGTAAAACTGTTACTAATAGAAACAATGAAGAAGGCGGTCTTTATGATTGCAGGCTTACCCACCAAAATAAGTCCAGAGGTTCTTTATTTTATAGTCTGACACAGAAATCATACATGTTGCCTCCCAGGCAGCAACACAAGAGCATTGTCCCTTAAAAGACTGGCCAAAGAAGGGGTGCTCATCAGTCAAGGCCCACCTTCAGTGGTTAACAAAGGGTCCATGGGGCTCAGTCTCTGAACTCATTTCTCTGTAGCTGATGGCAATTTTTGTTTTTCAACCCATGACCTGGGTTGACCTGAGCCTGCCTTTGTTTGGCTCAATCACAGACTTTCCAATCCTCTAGTTTCACTATGAAGTTTCCAGGGTGCCTCAGTTTTTGTGACTAGTAGCATCCTGTGATCTACTGTGCTCTTGCTGCTATGACTGCGGGCCCCCTGGCACATTTGGGGGTTATGTGACTGCGTCATGCTAGATAATTTCTTTATTCCATCTGCCTGTTCCTTGCTCCTGCCTGGGCTGCACAGATTGGTGGTCACTATTTACTAACTTTTGCAATGGAATCATATTGCATTTCAGGGTCCACGCCAGAGGCCAAGTATTAATTCTAATATTGGAAGTCAAACCGAAGTTCAGGGGCCACACCAAAGTCTATTGCTATGTGTCAGAACAGAGGACACAAAAAGCCAAGCCAAGCTAGAACTGGCATGGTAAATGGCAGCTAGAATAAATCAGAACTGGAAAAACCATAGGGGAGAATCCAGCCAATGTCCAACTTGGCTAAAGATGTAGTCTTGCCATCCGAGACTTACTGCAAAGGGCTAGAGTCATGTTTTCCAGCTCATGCTGGGGGCTTTGTCAAACCTGCTGCCTATCAGCTGATAGCAAGAAGGAAATCACCACAACCATGTGCTCCTATTCCCGGCTGACTCTTCCCTTCACTGAAATGATGAAATGATGGTAGCACCCTGGCTTTTGCTCAGATTATGTAATACTCATATTAAAATAGGGATTAACTAATAATGGAGATTTCACTCACCATCATGAACACTTACATTCCTACACATTATTTCCTCCAGTGCTCACTCTTAAAAGCAATATGAAGCTACTTATAGTAAACACTGTAGCTCCAATACATCTATTAAAATGAGATGAAAGGGCACACTAGCAAGTAATGGAGTAGCAATAGACAGGCCAATGAAATGTGAGTTTCAAACCTGAGGTTTCTGGTGGCACCTGCAGAAAAAATGAAAGGCATAACTGTCAAATGAAACTTATCATTATGCCCTGCAAAAAGAAATCACTTGGATGGGAAAACCACTACATTCCAGAAACTGATTACTTTATGCAATCATCTCATCAGTGCCATATTTTAAAAAAGAGGAAGACAGACAATTTATCCCAAGTCAGAGCAGCAGTGGAGGAAAAGCTAGATTTGAGGCAATAGAATCCCCACTCTAATGTCTATCTGCTTTGCCCTAAACAGAGGCTGCTTCTCCATGGGGATATAATCAGGCCCCAACACAAAGATCAACTTACAAAGATTAATTCAGTTATCCTAATTGTTTTAATCTTGTTGATTTTCAAAAGTCCATTTGTTAATTTACTTGACATATTCATTCAGTTTCTGTGTATGCATGGAATACACAGATGATGAGACAGCTTTGCCCTCTGTCCTCAAGGAACTTACAAAACTAGTAGAGAGACACACATAATGAATATATTATTAGAGCAATGCCCAGTGTATGCTTTTTCTGATTATAAAGATGATGATGAAGAAGATGATGATGATGATGGGGATGGTGACAGTGATGGTGATGATGATGTCACAGGGAGGCAAAAAAGAAGGAAAGGAAGAAGGAAATAAGGAAAGGAAGAGAAGAAGGGGAGATGGAAGGGGAAACAGAGGGGGTACAGGGAGAAGGACAAGGAAAAAATCTAGTGATTTTTAGACATTAGTCTAGCTCAGTGCTACATCTCAGCACACCTCCTGAGTCCTGGAGCCCACCATCCTCTTACGGTTTTTGTTTTTGTTTTGCTCCAGCAACCAAGATTCAGGCTCAATCTCAAAAGCCCATCTCAGCATAGTTCACTGAGTTACTTCAAGTGAGACAACATTAGTAAGTGCATTGTCACTTTGCTTTGCTTAAAAGCCATCAGAAATACTCCCCCCTGCATTGGTCTTGATAGGGACAATGTCATAGCTGAAAGCATACCCTGGAACAGATGAAGATGAGTTTCAGATGAGGATGAACTGCTACCACCTTCCCTTCCCAGAGCTACTGCTGAGCACTGGAGCATCCGTCCCTTGAGGGAGGTGGTGGAGGATAGGAGCAAGTGAGCAAATATGACTTTTACAAAAAAGATTCAATTTCTTCCAGTGTCCACATGGCTGCATTAGTAATGGTGAAGGAAATAGATAACCAAGATTCATCTGCCACTTGAGAAAGTGCATGCAGAATGGTCAATACACTTGTTTGCTTTAATAATGGATTAGATGCTATGTGGAAAATATGAAACTCCTGAAGCTCCAAATAAGACAGCGAATACCCTACCTTCTATGAATTGCAAGCATTATATCTTAGCAATCTCTTTTAGAAAGAGCCCAGAGGCAAGTTGGAAAGCAGTAAGTTCTTAGAGTCCTGCCCTAGTCCATGAAGGTGGGGTGTCCCCTTCCCCAGAGCAGCCAGGATGTTCTGATGTGGTGTCATCCTCCTGACCTTACTATAGGCCATCACTTGCACTGGGAAAAAATGGTACTCAATTGCATCTCAAGTTGACAGAGCAACCTTCTGGTCTTTGGCCTGCTCTCCACTGGAAGTGTAAAGTTCTCTGTATAACTTCACCTTTCTGAACCTAAGATGAGTCCAAAATCAGTAGTAGCAGTGGTGCTAGAAGAAATAAAGAAGTGGAAAGAAAAGTAATAATAACATCCAATTAACTGCCTATCACTTGGCTTACTGCCTACAATTTAGCAGTAATAATTACCCCTGCACTTCAAAATATATATCCTTCTCTTTGTTTTCAGATGAAGAGAGACTGAGACTCAGACAGAGTCAAGCAGTTGCCCAAGGCCGCAGAGTTGGTGAGTGGCATGACCAGGACTTGAACCCTAGTAAAAATCTTTTTCCTCTGCCTCAGCCTTCATTATGTAATGCTGCCTCCGTGTGGGGTTCCCCTGGTGACTGGTTGGATGCAAGGGAGTGGGAAGCCCAGGATACCTCTCAGAGTTCTGATGTTAGCAGGCAATTCTCTGGAAAGAGGGAAGGGAGAGATGCAAATCCACATGGGCAGACATGGTGTGTCTGGGTGTCAGAGGACAACCACACCCTTGTCCTTCCATGTATTGCTGTAGCTCACTTCCCCATCCATCAGCCTTGTTTAAATGCAAGCTAGGTTTTTGGGCTTCACTTACCTTCCACTCTTTTCTCAACTGAACACAACCTGGTGTGTTCCCTCATTTCACAAGTGAAAGTATGTACTCTCAATCTCCCTAATTATTGAAATACCACTTCTATTTTGGTTGTATGAACCACACTTTCATGTTTTCTTTCTATCTCTGATTGCCCTGAGACTTAATTGCCTGCAGCGTATCATCTGGCTGCTTTGATCATATCTCTGTTTTTTGCCATAAGTCCTCTCGTCTCCTCTCTCTTCTGTTCTTTTCCCTACCCTTTTCTTTCCCCACATCCTCTTACTGAACAATCTTATGTACTTCTTTGGAGTCAATTATCACTATGAACTATTATTAATGTCTCCCCAATATCTGTCATGAAGTAAGTGGTCAACATCACTTAAACTTATTTTATAATAAATAAGTAAATTATCAAGAGGTAAATGAATTTAGATGTCTAACAATTGGAAAAGGGCTCTAATTTAGAAACATACATCTCAGATTTATCTGTATTGAGATGATACTTAAAGCCAAAGAAGTGGCTGAAATTATCCACGGAATGTGTGTCAGGAACACAAAGTCCTAAGGAATACTAATAGTTACAGGAAGAGGAGAGAATGGGGGTCTCTTAGAGAAGTCATGGTTACCAAGACAGTAAGAGTGAAGTGCATAGGACATGCAATGTTAGAAGCCAATGGAAGTAAGAGTTTGGTGGTAGAGGGGTGGTCGACAGGTTCTGAAGGCTCAGGAAGGGCACAGAAACATGTTCTTTAGGTTTGGCAGTGGGAAGGTCACTGCTGCCTCAGGGTGGGGACTTTTAGGGTCGCTCTTTTCCCATCAGGCCAGGTGCTTTTATGCCTCTAGGTCTTTGCACATTGCATTCCCCTACATCTAAATTGCTATTTATTTCTCCATTTCTGTTTCTGACAAGCTTATATTTATCTTTCAATGCTTGCTTATTTAGTCAACAAATATTTATTAAATGTTTACTATGTGAAAGGTATTGCAATGAAATCCCTTTGTGAGAAATTCCTTCACCAATCCTCCATGCAGATGCAAAGGTTTGCTTCTCTGTGCAACCACAGCACCCTGTACACTTCCAACCAAAACCCTCAATCCCCAGCCCACTGAACTGTGGACAGCTGTTTACTCCCTCTCTCTAGAACAAATTCTTGAGAGCAGGAAATTGGTTTTATTCCTCTCTGTATTTATAGCACCATATTTTATGTTAAATTCATTTATCTACTGACTCTTCACCTTTATTTAAAAATCATTTTGATTTTTGTCTCTTTTCTCTTGATACCTGACAGGTATCAATGATACACTGATGGAAGTTCATGTCCCCTGTTATAAAAGAGGTTACATTTATTCTCATTGGAAAAAAGAATCATATAGGTTGGAAGTATCATTGAATGGATTTGAATAAAGGAATACATGTGGCTATACATGTATAAGGCAAGCTACTTCCCTTCATCACTCTTTAGTTGTTATCCATCAGAAGAAGGAAGATTAGTTAACTTCTTCCATGACAAAAATGGTAGTCTCATTTTATACTTACCAATTAATGATCTGTTGATAAATAATTCCTGGCTTATTTCACAAATGTCTGCAGTAATTCTGCTTAATCTCTACCATGGTCACAACCTTACCTGTTCCAACATCTATCCAAGCAGCATGTCTTAAAATTTAGAGAAATTGTAAATAATGGGGTAGAGCCACTCACTGGAGGTATGAACAAGCTGCCAAATTGCTCTTCAATTTTTAAATTGCTTTGACACAAGCAGCAACTATGAAAAAGATAAGCTTAGTACTTGTCAAACCACAAGTGCACTATAAGAAGATTTCAGAGAGGATTTTATGTATGGCATGCCACAGTCTCACTGGGTGCTGAAAAGCAGTTGTGAGCATATCTGGCATTAAGGGAAATTATTAAAACTCTATGATTTGAAATGGATGGTTTACTTCCTTTTCCTTATCCCACTGCAGATTCTACTGAACAATAATTTGAGTCCATCCATTTATCCCCTGTGCCAGCATAAGGTTTCCTGGGGGAAATCTAAACTGTTTCTAGAATGGACTCTCATTCCTTGCTTCCTTCCTAACAGCTTTTCTTCATATGTATTAATTTTTAAAAATATCTTCTATAAGGTACTCTCTGTGATAAGTTATGTGAACATAAAGGCAAATGTGACCCAGTCTCTGACCTCAAGCATTTCTGGTCTAGATGAGAAGCAAGAGATTAAGTTTTTCCCTGCTCTCTTCTCTGTGCTCCTAAGGCAGCCCCTACATGATTGCATCACAACACAGTGAATCATAATTATTTCAACTATTATCTTTATTTGCCTAATGCTCTTCTTCTACCTATTCTGTTTACAGACCCCACCACTCTGATTGCAAGGATGAGTTTGTGACTGAGATCTGGCCCATCACAGTAAAGCATACTTTGGTAACATAAGTAATTTAGGAATGTCCACATAACACAAACCATACAAACTGGAAGCCCCCTCTAAGCATTTTAGGCTGGAACTAAGAACAAAGAGGTTTTCTTTTCCTCTTGCAGGTAGTAAATTGTAGGAATGTGACTCAATGGGATAGCACATATACTGTCACATGGATAAACACATGAGAATAAAGATGATTTTGAGAGAAAAGTGGTGATGAGAAGCAGACAGAAAGATATCTAGCAACATCAAGTCATTTATTCCTGTCTCAGATATACCTGGATTTCTCTAGTTAATATCTATAATGTTAGAGAGTTTTTATTTATTTGTTTGTTTGCTTACGTTAGATCAGGTTGAGATTTTGACACTGCAAACTGAAAGAACCCTGACTAGCAATTGGAATTGGTACCAGAAGTGGGGACAATAATTTTGAAAATGGAAATGTGAAACTGGGTTTTGTCAAGATGAGATGGGGGAATCTTTATTAATCACTCTCCACTCCCCTCATCATCCTCAGCTAGGAAATATTTTGTTGCAAAGTAGGACAGCACTGGGTTACAGGTTTCTTGTGGTATCTTGAAACTTCAACCATGTGTCCAACAAAACCAGAATATCAGTGACTTAGTAGAAAAATGTGATGATATTGGACTGTAGGCTTTGTTCTGCATTCTTCAGTACATTTCTACAACAAAAAGACAAATTGATTTATCTGAAATCACAAAGAAATCTGTATGTACCTCTATATAAAAAAATTCTTTCTACACAGCCTCAGCAAAGCTAAACTGGAAAGGTTAAGGCAGGAAAGTCCTCTGTAGAATTGGAAAACTAAGTGTTTTACCCCATGATAAAGTTAGTATAAGCAAAAACAGGACAGTGAGAAAAGTGAAAGAAGATTAGATTCTTCCCTGCCTGCCCGAGGTAATCATTCCCTATGGCCTAAGCAACTTGGATGCAGTGGTGAGGAGGAAAGGGAATTAGCTTTACCTTATCATCCTATCCTTTCTTTCACTTTACTCTGAGGTAGGAGTCAAGACAGTAGCCATTAATCTGATGGTCAGAATGTCAGGTCTATTGATAAGCAATCAAAGGGTTACGGTACTTATTCAAAGATAATGACCAGACATATGTTCTTGCATCAGTCTTCCAGACCAGAATTTTAAAGAACACTTAAGGCTAGACAAATGCCAAATATCAAAAAATGAGGTTTGGATGGCACATTCCCTAAGACAGTCCTCAGGCTCATTCAAGCATATTTAGCAAAGATTCAACCACAGAATGGGATTTCTTCTCACTGCACAACACCTTTTATGAATGGTCCAGGATGATTCCAGATAAGTGAATTCACCCAGTAGGCAGATTCTGTGGCAATCATATCAGTTGAAAAAGGAACTCAGTCTGTTATTACCAAGCAAGACAATGAATGGGTGTACATTTCTATCCTTATCCATTGGAGTATTGTGTATCTGGCCAGTGGCTACTGCATATTACTTCCTCTTCCTCCCTCTTTCCATGAGACAATTATGTTGATTAATATTTTACCTCAGGACTGCTTATTAGAGAAAACAGATAGTGATAGTTATCATTAGCTGAAAGTTTACAGAATCTTTTTATGCCCCAACTAGAGCTCAGTGAGAGGAAGGCATAACATTTAAACATGGAGGAAGTAACATCTGGACATAATTTTGGAAGCAGCAATTACAATGGGTAGCTGTTATATTGGGAAGGAGCATTTTTTTCAATTTTTGTATGCTAAAAAGATTTTGTAAGTAGTCTAGAAAAGTAAAGACTTGATTGTAAACAGTACACAAGACTCCTTTCTTCTGGCAATTGGAAATAATCTCCTTTGGCTACCACCGATATGGGCAAATCCTCATTTAGGTCTCTAAAATTGTTCTGTCTCCTGAGGATGTTTCAGGGTCAGCCTGTATCTTTATTTGGAACTTTTCTGCTACAACCATTGAGTGATGGTCTCCTCTGTTCTCAAGAGTCTTAGAGCTTCAAAGATAAATCCCTAAACCATTTGGTGGCCAATGTACCGATTTGAGGAAGATAAAATCAAGTGGGGAAGAGACAAGGTGAACCCAACATTGAGTTCTCAGTTTTTGGTCTCTGATATCCTCAGAACTTTATTGGTTCTTGTGGCTCCCAATACAATTATATAAACCAAACTAGTATCTTTCGTTAATTCTGTCTGTCATTAAGCTGGTTAAAAATGGGTTTCTTTCACTTCTATATGAAGAAGTCCTGAAACATACTGTTATCTTTTCCATGGAGTCATTGAACATTCATGTAATGTAACTGAATTTCTTTAACAGTTATACAAATTTAACCCAAATTGGTAACTCATTGAACACTGTTAATTAAGAAGGAATCACTATAAAAGGCAGAATTTATATAAATCATAATTAACAGCCTTCCAATTTAAACATTTATTGTGCTCACAAACAGTATGACTCAATCAGGTGTTAAAGTGAACTAAATATGGCCTGAGAAGGACTCCATACTTCTATATTTGAATTCTTGCGGACGATCTGCAACTTTGCTTAATAGGTAGACAAGATCGAAAACCTAATTTAGGAGTATGCACCTGTAACAATAGCTGAGTGGCCATACCTCAGTCATTCATACACTGCTGAGTGTTCAGACTGTTCAAATAAGGCAAAAGCTGAGCTGTAACCAATCCAGCTGTTCTATACCTCACTTCCAATTTATGTACCTCATTTCCTATGTCTTTTTTTTTTTTCTTTTTTTTTAGACGGAATTTTGCTCTTGTCGCCCAGGCTGGAGTGCAATGGCGCAGTCTCAGCTCACTGCATCCTCTGCCTCCCAGATTCAAGCAATTCTTCTGCCTTGGCCTCTCAAGTAGCTAGGATTACAGGCATGCACCACCGCACCCGGTTAATTTTGTATTTTTAGTAGAGACAGGGTTTCACCATGTTGGTCAGGGTGGTCTCGAACTCCTGACCTCAGGTGATCCACCCATCTCAGCCTCCCAAAGTGTTCGGATTACAGGCATGAGCCACTGTGCCCAGCCATTCTTTTGTCTATAAATCTTCTACCACCATGCTGCTGCATTGAAGTCTCTGTGAATTGGCTGTGACTTTAGGGGGCTGCCCAATTCGTGAATCATCCATTGCCCAATTAAACTCCTTTAAATTTAATTCGGCTGAAGTTTTCTTTTTATCACAGGTATTATAAATGTCCATTCAATAAATATTATATAGCTAAAAGGCAGCAAGGCAGAGTGGCTGAGATCCTGGCTTCATAGCAGGCAAGTCCCAGGCTGGACACCCATTATCATCTACTAATGGTGTGGCTTTGAACAGCTTAAATATCCCCAGCCTAGTTTTCTTTACCTTTAAGATTAGCATGATACTAGGAATGTTGTCAGGGTTAACTGAGTAATATAAGCAATACTCTCAATATTACTATCGTGCATAGTTCATGATCAATAAATAGTGTTCTCATTGATACTGTCAGCCATTGACTCAGATGTTACTGATAGGATGAGAGATTCCCAAGTGTATCAGTAGTCAGAGCCGGGAACATTTATTCCCACAATGCTCTCTGGTCATTATTCCAAACTATCTTGGTACTAATCAGTAATCAAGCCTATGCAACCACTCTGTGCAGTGCCCGGTCCTGAGTGCTACAAGGTACCTTGAAAGATGCAAGAAAAGGCCTGAAATGAAGCACAGAGAAAGAAAGAATTTAGAAACTCAAGTGCTCACCTCCCTACACCACACCTCTCTTTCCATTTCATATGTAACCAGTGGAACACAATTATGAAAAACTCAATTAAGATAAGCTTGTCTTAAAAAAATAAACACACATTCAATTTATATCATTTCTTAGAATTAGTTTGGTAGGGGAAAAACTCTCATAATACTATTAAATTTCCCATTCAACTCTCAGTCAGAGAACAATGGCTGCTGGCAATAATTGCTTTTTAAATGACTTACTGCAACTCAGGGTAAACACTGCTGTAATTACAGTCTCGCAGAAGAAGTACCTTATGATGAGAATTTGGACAGACCCAAAATATCATTTTGTTCTTTCTGCCTCTTTCCATGAAACCTTTTCAGTCTTTCATTTCTGACAATAAGTCCATTTAGAGAAATTATCATTTTCCCTTGAAAAGCTAAGCAGGCAAGTGTTTAGGTAATAGAGCCACAGAATTGTCCTTCAAGTTGGCTTAGAGAGCTTATTCAACTGTAACTCTTGTCCCTGCCATGCTCTGGGTGTCTGCTTCATGGATTGCACTCTGCAAAACTGCTTTTTCTATTCCTCTGCACACACAGCAGGTAAATGACTTCTTCGTTCAGGCACAAAACAGACTCAAATCTCAGTTAGGCACCACACCCAACTACATGGTTTCTCAATGCAATGTCCCAATGCTAAATTCCAGGAAAAGAGAATCTAATTAGCCCAACATGGGCCAGGGACCATCCCTATTTACTAAGTTCTGGCCAGGGAGGAAAGCTCATGAAGCACAAACAATTCTCCCTCTTTGGAGGGCAGGGAACACAGTTGTATTAGAGGCTGTGAATTGAACAGATGCCCAAAAAGGTTCGACTGTTCACATAGTATCTCTACTGAACATATAGTCTCTCTAGTTTGCTGAAGAGGAACTTGAAACCCAGAAAATCAAAGCCCATCAAATTATCAAACTAGTGAGTATGCAGCTTTGAACTCAGATCTTTCTGACTATAAAGCTTGTAATTTCTATTAAATTAGTAGTTTCATAGTAGAGTGTGCAATACATTCCACTGGCTTTAAGAAGAAAATATCAATAAGTATATTGCCAAATTCAGATCAAATTCAGAATAATATCATAATGGTGGTGCATACATCACTTTTATCTGTGGTATAAAAGTTAAAAAAACAAAACTATTAAAAATAAGTGTAACTACAATAATTTGTTAAAGAATATACAATGTAAAAAGATGTAAATTGTGATTTTGTTGTCACAATTGACATCATTCTACACTGTATATGGGAGGGG